ATCTTCCTCACCTGCCTCGTGAATGTAGTGCAGCCCCTAGAACAAGTGAAGAGAGGACGCATGGAAGGGGGAGGGAAAAGGATGGAGCACGAGAGAAATTCGCAGGAGGAGGTCTAGGAGCAGAAAACACGTGGCAGAACCAGACGGGTAGGTCGGGCCGGCAGACTCTCGCGGGGGGTCAGGAAGGCGGGCCCAGGCGGCCAGGTCGAGCAGGCGGGTTGATGAAGCGTGCGTCCTGCATGAATCGAAAGGAAATCTCTAGCGATCCCCAAGGAAATCCAGGGAAAAACTAAAGCGAGAGCATGATTTTGTAAGTGTCGAAGGCACGGCGTCTGAATAAATTTGGAGAAGTCCCACGCGAAAGCGCGACTCCTGCATACATTGGGAGGAAGTCCCGCGCGAGAGCGCGATTTTGAATGAATTGTGAAGAAGTATCGAGCGGGAGCCGTCGTTGTTGTAATTCGGGGCCCAACAACCCAGTTTGGTTGCACCCGAGCCCCGGGAGGAGACCTTGAACTGAATATATGAATACATAATGGTTACGGGGGAAGGGTGGATCAACAATAGTTGTTCTTTAGAAATGCGATATCAACAACAACAGCAGCAGCAACAACAACAACAGCCACAACAACCACAACAACCACAAGAACAACAACAACTATCACAACAACAACGACGATCAAGGACCACATCCTTCTGCGACAATTCCTGGGAGCCTCCCATAACATCTGGCTGGCTCTTGCGAACTGACTCTAATCGACTTTCAATCGACACTCGTCGACGCTAACCGACGCCAATCGGCGCTGAATCGGCGCGATCTCACCGACCACCTGACGCCAATCGACGCTCATGAACTGTAAAGACGGAATTACGAGGGCATACAATAGATAGCTGGAAAACCACCCTTACAAAAGAGCACCCCGACAGGCGAAGCCGTTTCGCAAACGCAGGCAAGGAAGGAATCGAACAGGACAGGGCTGTTTAGTAAACGCCCGCGTCTTCTTCGCGAACGTCAGCCACGGGGGTCGGGGTGGTTTTTCTCCCCTCGGTACAAGGCTCCCATAATCTGCTGCCGACATCCTGGTGGCCATCGCACTCCTCCCAATGCTCCCGCGGGGGCGAGCGTCCTTCCCGCCCTTCTTGCCTTTGCCCGCCGGCGCCCCTCCGGGGACCGCGGGCATGCCGCTGCCAGAGGTAACGTCCTTCGCCTGGGGCATGCCCTGCCTGAGCGCGCACTGGGCGGAGAGGCGAGGAGTGATCTCAGCGGTCTCTCCCCTCTGATTTGGGGCACTTGACACGTTATCCGTGCCCCCCCGAGGGCCCAGAGCGGGGACGCGGATACGATCCCGGCCTCCGAGGCCCCACTTTTTATCCATGCGCTGCTGCTCATGGCGCCACGGGTGGGGGCTCAGCAGCAGGGGTATGGATCGAACGTCGACCGCCGCTTGCTGCAAATCTTAGGAGGCACGCGGTGGTCTCCGGAGTCGTTCGGTTCGTTTCGGAGGCGTTCAGTGAGTTTTCGAACGCTGTCTTACACTTTCGGAGGTCGGTTGACTCCGCCGACTGTCCACCCACACGGATCCTGGCCCGGCCAGTCCTGGGCTCGAGTAGGGACGAAGAGAAAGCGAGGAAGGGGAGAGAGAAGAGGAGGAGGAGGAGGAGGAGGAGGAATTGGAGCTCCTCATCATCGTCATCCTCCCTCGTCCTCCTCCCGCTCCTCCTACTTGACCTACCCCGACGATGACGACGACGTGCCCCGCGACGTTTCAGCGCAACGGTGGCTGCGCTGCGGGGTACTTGTTGCACTCCACCGAGAAGATCACGTCCGCACCAGCCTGCGGCGACTCCGCACAGTCGTCGTCGTCGTGGTCGTCGTCATCCCTCGTCGGATTCCAAGCCTTCGTCCTCGCCATCGACCTCCTCCTCCTCCTCTTCGCCTTAGCTGTCGTCTTCGCTGCTGCTGCGAGGAACGCAGGGGGGGAGAAGGGGAGAGGGAGCAGGAGGGGAATGACTTGAAGGGGAGGGATTGCCATCGTGACGGGCGAAACTATCCCATCGCGACCCCAACTAGGGCTATCAGATCTGCTAGAGAGAAAAGCTGAAGACAGGCTGTACATCATGGAACCCGGGAGATGCCCGTGGGAAAGTGTCTACTCGTGAGGTCCGAGGCTTCACACAGCCCGTTTCGTTTTCTTCATCCCCATCTATCCTACGTCCTCCCTCCACATCTCCTTTAAGCTCCCGATACCCCAAGCCCCCGTCCTTCGCCCCTCGCGACTCATCATCATCATCATCATCATCATCATCATCATCATCATCATCATCATCAGCAGCAGCAGCAGCATCAGCAGCAGCATCATTGTCATCGTAATCATTACCAGCACCATCAACATCATCATCATCAACATCATCAGCAGCAGCACCCTAATAATCATCATCATGCGCATCATCATCAACATCGTCACCACCGTCATCATCCGTCACCATCATCATCACCGAC